CACACACACACACACACACACACACACACACACACACACACACACACTTCCAGACACCTTCCCTCCCCCACAGACACACATCTTTGAGCAAACCCTCACTTTATCTGTATGTATGTTTTAGTCAGGATGCACACAGACATATACACAAACATATATATATTTTTTGACACACTTTTGTTGTTCTAGAAAATACACATTCACACACAACATATTGCTTTGCTCCCAAACTGCTTGTGTGGGACAGTAACGGTGACAGCTACAACAGCATCAGTACCTGCTGTGGAACAGAACCGTGTCAGAGGGAAACAGCAGCAGATGCTGCGCTCACAGCTCCAGGATTACCTTAGCCTGAACAAACTCCATTACTGCTTCTATTACCCGGATATACAGAGCCCGGCAAAAAGCACTTTGCAGAACCACTGTTTACACAGCACCTCTGTACCCCACACACCGATTCCCTTGATTACAGAGCAAGGAAGTGGCGAAGACCAGAGGGAGAGGAGAGAAGTTGCATCGGGGGGAAAACATCAAGCTTTTCTTTCAGTCGTTGTCACAGCCAGGGCAGTGTGTGTAGAGCTGTTTGTTGTTTAACTCAGTGGTCAAATGACAGAAAATCAATTAGTTAGTTGATCATCAGAAAATTCATGGCAGTACTTCTGATAACCGAGTGAACCAATGGTGCCACATTTAAGATTAGAAGCAGTGCAAACAAGGCAGTCAACATAAGGTGCAAAAGGACAAAATAAGGCACCAAGACAAAATGAAGAAGAGCAAAATAAAAGACAAATGTAAAATGTATAGATAAATAAAAAATGCTTTAAAAATTCTGGTTCTTGCTTTTTAAATTTGAGGAGGATCAGCTTTTCTATATTTAATAGCTCCACTAATTTAATATATTTGTGTTTTGGACAATTTGTTGGACATTGACTAAATGATTAATCCAGAATAAAAATAATTCGTAGTTGCAGCTCTAAATAAATAGTTTATGTTATTCTTCAAATATAAATAAACTTCTGCCGTAATGTATTCACGTGACCTTGTTTTTTTTGACGATTGGACACAATTAGCAATTTTAGGAGCTCCTGTTGAACTCTTCCAACAATTTTGATAACTGTTAGGTAATTTACATGCAAAGATGCCAAAATAAATCTAGTTACAGAGTCTTAAATATGAGGATTTGCTTTCTTTCCCTGAGTATCTTTCGGTTTTGGACAATTTGTTAGAAATAAAAAGCAATTTAAAGATTTTAACCAATTCATCTAAAAATAAACTAAAATAATAACAAAATAATCAACAATAAAAATAATCCGTAGTAGCAGCCCTAAATTAATAATTATTCATCAAGTACAAAATAACAAATGTTTTCCAGTTACAGCCATATTGTATTGATTTGTTCGGGATGTTTTACAGTTGGTCAGACAAAACAAGCAACTTCAAGACATCATGTTGAACTCTTGTAATTATTTGATTGCTATTCGTCATTATTTTATACATTTTGTACACTGAAAAACAAGAACTAACAGAAAATAATAAGCAAATGGTTATAGATAATGATAATTATTTGTGGCAAAGAAAAAGACAGAAGACAGGAATACTGTGGCAG